GATGTTTTTAATGACAAAGTTAACTGCGCTCCTCCTGGATAAATGTTGGTCAATTTGTAGGCCTACATATTTAAGTTTAGGTTGCGATTTTATTCCATATTGTAACATAATACCACAAAATTTGTTATTTGTTTTAGTTTTCGTTTCGGCCCAAAGATAATACATTCTGTTTTGCCTAAATATAATGCAATCTTATTGTCAACAAGCAAGTCACTACAAGACTCCAATTCCTTTTCTAGCTTTGGATATAACATCTGGATCTTTATGTGAAAACGTATAGCAGTGATTACAGTCAGATTGGATACTGATGGACATGTCATTAACATAGCATAAAAATGACAAGGGTCCCAGAATACTTCTTTTTGGGACTCCACATGTGATATAAAGAAGTTCAGATTCGGTCCCATTAAACATTAACAAGCTGCTTTCTTCCAGATGGGTATGACATGAACTATTTTACATCTTTAACCCAAATAGATCTTATTTTTTTACAAAGTATTTTGTGGTCGACAGTGTCAAAGGCTTTTTGTAGGTCTGTCATGAATAACCCCTTTGTCTACGGAGTATATATTAATTAGTTGATACGATATTCCAGAGCTTGCATTTCCTATCGTGATTTTAGTGGTAGAGTGTTGCTGCTAACAAGGAAGTTATCAACCAAGAGTTCCAAGTGGTGAAGTTCAAATCATCCCTTCGAAAATTTTACGGACGCCATCACGAGTTATGGCATATCTGTGTCACAGATATATTCCAATTGTCGTAACCACAATCCCGCTCCTTTTTCTCGAATGTGACCTACCGAATTACACGTATCATCGGGTTGTACTTGCATGAGCAACACAACGGGTGCCACATGTGGAGCAGGATCTGCTTACCCTTCCGAAGCACCCCGGTTTTTGGTGGTGTTCGTGTTGCTCAGTCTTTCGTGTTCTATGTTGTGTTTTGTGTACCGTTGTTTGCCTTTTGTTTGTTTTTTTCTCGCTTTAAGCCATATGACGTTGTCAGTTTGTTTACTACTTATGAGTTTGAATGTCCCTTTTGGTATCTTTCGCCTCCCTTTTGATGGTTGTATTTTTATGTGGTCAACTAAATGGATAAGGCAAGTATCAGTAGAGTACGATCTCCTGTAACCGGACTGAAATCGATATAACAAATCATTTTTAAGCAAGTGTGTCTCCAGTTTTTAATGAATAGCCTTTTCAAGAGTTTTGAAAATGATGCAGAGATTGCTGACTTGTCGATAGTTTCCTATTTCCTTTCTGCTTTTATTTTTGTTAAGTGGTTTTAATCTAGCTAGTTTTACTTCATTTGGCACTATTCTAGATGTAATGGATAGGTTCACTAAATAAGTTATTGGTTAAGCGAGAGTTTTTGCGCCATCTTTGATGAATATGACTGGAATGTTATCTTTACCTGTACTTTTATACGAATTTAAATTATTAAGGTCTTTATAAATGAATTCTCTTCTTCTAATTGGAACTAAGAGATGTTAGCTATTGCAAGAGTTTTTTGGAGATTTTTTATTTTTTCGATTTTACCGGATATAAACTCCTTCTTAGCTCTTTTGATATCTCTTTGGACTTTTTTTTATTTTACTAAACTGTTTGTACCGATGTTTACTAACAGCCTTTTGTATTCTAGTAAAAGTTCTTCTCTCTTTCTGATATTTTCTAATATTTCTGAGAAAACTTTAGAGAATGAAATACAATAGTATATGATATATTAACACAGCAAACTTTGATGTGGTGTATTTGCGAAAAGATCCCTTTTCCTTGTAAACTTGTGTTGCTATTTCGTATTCATTTGGTATATCTTTTTGCTGATACCATTAAGAGACCTTTCAATGATGTTTAGACCCTTTAAAGGGGAATTAACTGCCAAATTTATGCCCATCGAATTTTCAATCACCCATCATTGATTTGGTATATACTAAAACGTAACTTTGATTTGGTATATACTCAAACGTAACTTTGATTTGGTATATACTAAAACGTAACTTTGATTTGGTATATACTGAAACGTAACTTTGATTTGGTATATACTAAAACGTAACTTTCATTTGATATATACTCAAACGTAACTTTGATTTGGTATATACTAAAACGTAACTTTGAATTACAAAAGTTCCATAAAAACAATATATATATATATTTATTCAAGATAAAAGGCATGAATTTGACGGATACAATATATTACAAAGACACAGATATAGCACTAGACATAATTTATAAACACTAAAATGATTTACGTGTTTACTAAAAAAATTTAATTTAAAAAAAAATTATGAAAATTTTCATGATATTTTGATAATATGAATAGACTAGATTAAATAATGCACAACAGTCGACATGATCCATGTAAATTGCAGTGGCGGATCCAGAGCTTTTCATAAAGGGGGGGGGGGGGGAGGGCGCTGCCTGACCTAAAGGGGGGGGGGGGGGGGGGCGCTCCAGTCATGCTTCAGTGATTCCCTATATAATCAACCAAATTTTTCCCGCTCAAAATTTTTTACTCAAAACCTAAATAAGACATATTTTGCGGGTCGAATCAATCAAGGAAAATGATCATTCGTTTCATCAATCACTGAACATGTTGAGCGCATGCGCAACTCATCCCAACAAAGATTAAACTAAGTTCGCATGAATATGAATTCAAATGAGGTTAAATTATTGATTAATTAGCTTTAATTTTATCGAGAAAAGTTAACCAGACTGACGGCTAATAATGAAAGATCAGCTGAACGTTTTAATCACATACTGTGTATGCTGATGATATGGTTATTTTCTCAAAATCTGTTTCAGGGTCACAAAATATGCTTGATACATTATATGAATATACTTCAAAGTGGTAATTGAGTGTTAATATTAATAAAACTAAAATTGTAGTATTTAGAAAAGGTGGTAGAGTTCATGTTGATGAGAAATGGTATTATAATAATCAAGAAATTGAAGTTGTTTATAATTTTACATACCTTGGTGTACTTTTAAATATTAATGGCAAATACAATATGTTACAACAGAAACTATCTGAACAAGGTAGAAATGAATGTTTTGCTTTTAAGAAGAAATATCAAAAGTATGTATTTAAACTATGTCACTTTGTTATCACTTTTTGGTACTTATATCAATTCTTTATTGAGTTATGCAAGTGAAATATGGGGTCCACACAAAGCTCCGTCCATTGAGAGAGTACACTTGAACTATTGTAAGAATATACTTAGTGTTAAATTATCTACCCACAATGTTATGATATATCATGAACTAGGTAGGTTGCCTCTTATTTTTACATAAAAATGCAAGATTTTCAAATATTGGTTTAGATTGCTAAATGCTTCAAACTGTATATTGAAAAACTGTTATAATTACTTATATGGCGGATAAGAGAGATGTCCAAATAAAAAGTGTAATTAATTGTGTATTATTAAGAAATGAACTGTATTAAGGTGATGTATGGTATAGCCAAAACCTTATTTCAGACTTGCTTCGATGTATATTTTACTGTTATAAAGCAACGTTTATATGATTGTCTAAAACAAGAACTTGATGCTCAGTTGCATACTTCTCCAAATTTTAAATAATTTTTGTCTGCAATTTTATTTATGCAAACCAATTCCTAATGTTTACAAAACAAAGTTACGAAAATAAGATTAAGTAGCCACAACTTAGCTATAGAAAATGGAAGATTTTATGGTATAACAAGATATAATAGAATATGTACTTTTTCTAAAAATGATATAGAGGATTAGTATCATTTCATCCTCAAATTTCCATTTTTTCAAGGTTTTCGAAAATTTTATATTAAGCCATATTATGATTGGCTGAAACCATTGATGTACAAATTCATTAAAATAATGAGTACAAACAATGTAAAAGAGCTGTGTTATTTATAAATTTATAAATGTGCACCTATAGTTTATATAGACTTTGGTAATAAAGATATAAGTGTCAAACGTTTCATAAATACGTTGTTTTTTTTTTATCTCCCTTTATTTCCATGACAATTTCTAAATCTATCCTGAATTTGCGTCAAACATTTTATTGCTGCTGTATTGTGCTTGACCTTAATTAACCATAAATTAGGAGATGGATTTTAAAAAACAGCACTGCAATAGACCACTTTCGAGTTCGTTGGTTTTAGTGAACATCATTCGGCGTGCGGTTTAGAGGCATCGTCACTTCCTTCACATGTTGAGAAAGCGGTTGAAAAAAAATGATGCTATATTGCACGAATTATTCGGCAAATTAAATTCTTATAATAGATAATCTGCACTGCTGTCATTAGGGAATTGTGATTAAATAACTACAGCTACGGAACAAACATTACAATTTCTAGTTTATCCTGCATAATGTCGATCACGAAGACGCTTGGTGAACTTTAATAGTGCAGGGATACAGGCGGTCCCCTCTATCTGGTAAATGACATCATTAAGGCGCACATAATTGACGAACTTTTCCGGTGAAGGACATAACTCGAAAGTGGTCTATTGTTTCCTAAACGATTCCTATGACGACTATATTACAAGTGAGATGTTTAGCTAGCTATAAAACCAGGTTTAATCCACCATTTTCTACATAATGAAATGCCTGTACCAAGTCTTGAATATGACAGTTGTTTACCGTTCGCTTGATGTGTTTTAGCTTTTGATTTTACCATTTATTAAGGAACTTTCCGTTTTGAATTTTCCTTGGAGTTCGGTATTTTTGTTATTTTACTTTTTCCTAATCACACTTTTGAATTACTTGTATATTTCGTATTTACTTAATTATTCTAGTAGTTATACATAACCATTTCTTTAATAAAAGTTTACACTATTACTATTAATCTATTTCACGCCACTGTGAAAAAATATTTAACCTGAAAAATGGATCGATCTGACTGCTCGACATACAATAAAATTTATGTTAGATCGAAGACGCACGTATTTCAACCACAGTTAATCGTTAAAACTATTTAGATGAAAGAAGTTTGTATTCCAACCACAATGAATCAGTAAACAAACTTTGCCGATAATGAGATCGTACGCAACAAATTATACGAGCTTCCTGGCAATATAACACACTATTGGATTACGATGTGTCTGATTCATAATACACATGTCTGGATGACATTCCTTTATAAATCGGAAACGTGAACGATTTGCTTATAGTTAAAATACAAATGTAAGTATTTTATTAGTTATCATTATATTTGCACTGTCCATGTAACGTTTTATATAGGTGAGGTTCAGTCATAACAATTTAAAATTGCTCTAACAGACAAACCTGTGCTAAAATTCACTAGATATATAAAAGTTAAGTGCATTTTTTTGCTTCAGAAAGATTTTTTATCATTATTCAGGCGATGAGTCAGAATTTGATGTTAAGAGGGGGCACCCAATAATTGGAAATAGACAGATTTTGACACAAAATTGTTTGTAATTTTACCTTCATTACATTTTTTTTAGGAGGAGGAGAACCTGTCCCAATTGTCATTACTAAAATCCTGTCCTCATTTACCGGCACATATGACACATCGATTGCGACTTACTTGAAACTATCAGCAAAACGATGGCTGCCATTTATAAAGTGAAGCAGAAAGTTTTAAATGAATGCAACTGTATTTTTTTTTTTATTTCTGTTATTTTTTGTTCCCTGTGTTGCATTTTATTTTATTTTTTGATTATCCGAGACGTTAAGGCTACAACTACTGTTGTCCATCTTTTGTCCTAATAAAACTGCGTTTTCATTTCACACATTTTTAACGGTTAAAGATTATGGTGTTATAATTCATTGAGAACATACTCAATAAAAAAGGTTAAGGTCCACTACTTTTATTTTACATAACAATAGTAATTAAGTTCCTTTCCGAAAATCTTCTGAATCTGCCATGAACCGTATTGAGAGTAACACAGAGGAACACCTTTTAAGTTTTTGCCTGATTATTGAAAACTGTTAAATACTATAACGTTTAAGAAGTCGAAGATCAGAGGCAATTACTTTTATAGACATAAGTTCATTGACATATTAAGTTTTTTTTTCAATCAAAATTACTCAGAACGGCCTTACCTTCGTTGTTATCTTACTGTTAAACACATGGCTGTAAATTTCATATACGCGAAAGTTTAGAGAAATCTCAGACTAGATGTAGCAAGCAAGAAACATAAATATGATTATTTAACCAGCCGAATTAGAGGAGCACTTTAGAATTCAACATGTCAACAGTGAAACAGATACCATTTCAGCGCGGGAAAAAATGGGACGCATCTTGACACCTCAAGATTGCCGTTGGTTTGGAAAATGTAAACAATTGAAGGAACTCAAGGAATAAGCCAGTGACTTCATCGGTTGAGCGGTTGTTTTTTTCTAATGATAGTTTTTTATTCAAAGAATTTTCTCAAAATCCTTTTCAGTAGAGATGCACAAAATCGTCTTGGGATTTCCCTAATGAAGGGTTTCCCACTAGGTCAAATAGTCGGCTTCTAGGGTCTTACCCCCAGCCCCTGTCTAAGTAACTGCCTCCTCCATAAATAAGGCTAATTAACGGTTATGAGATACACAAATTCGTGCTCATTAAACAGAACGTAGGGCGTGTGTGAGTTATCATTCATATTGTGAAGTTAATGTAGGGAGCTCTGTTTCGTGATATTTTTTTCACGCACACACTAATATTATTTAGTATACAAATAAGAATACAAGTTTACTTGAACAACAATTTTCTAATTTTTGGGATCAGAAAATATCCCAGAACATCCAAGTACACGTCTCTCTATAATGTAATTGTTTCTTCATCAATCCCCTTGACGACAAGCCCCTCTTAACAGTAATGCATATTTTCTTAATTTCAGATATCAATATGAATATAAATGACGTACCGTCAGATATTATATTGGAAATTTTCACATACCTACCTCAGCCTGTGTTAGTCACCACCGTTGGACTTGTTTGTCACAGGTGGAACGAACTGGCGTCTGCTCCAGGTTTATGGCACCAACTTAATTTATACCACTCTTCAATATTTTTATCGGCGTCTAAACACAAATTGGATGCAATGCTACAAAAAATAGGTCATCATGTTAAGACACTTAAAACCAGAGTTCCGTGTGTTTATACAAAGTTTCGACCGGAGCTCTTTACGGATTTAAAATCTTTGCATATCAGAATGTACGATAATGATGACATTGAAAAGTTTGAAGATATTATCGACTGTTTTAAAGATCTGGAGACGTTCAAACTTGACGTATCGACGTTTGAAAGATTAACTAGTATAATTTCAGTTTGCAAGCGACTTACAAATCTTCGAAAGTTTCATTTGCGCCATTTCTTTTGCAATCATTCTGCAAATCTTAAGTTGATGCCTCATGTTTTTCAAGTTTTATTTCAAAACACAACACTACTTACTCATGTCACACTGAGTTGTGGAGATATTTATTTGGATTTAGCAATTCAAACTTTATCTGAGAAAAATCCTAATTTAGTGGAGTTGAATTTGAACAGATGCAGTGGACTAACAAGTACTGCATTCACAAGATTACACTTTTCTAAACTTAGGTCGCTTGTTCTCGATCGAACTTCTGTTGATGATCAAGCCTTAAAACTTGTAGCGGAAAATTCGCCGTACTTAGAAACTTTTTCGATTTCTAAATGTAGGAATGTTACTGACAAAGGACTCTATTATATCGGTATAAAATGCATACGGCTGCGAAAAATAACAATCAATATGTATTCTTCGGGTCTCGATCAATGTTGTAAAGTGACCAATTCAGGTCTTCTCGGCGTTGCCGAGGGCTGCAGTGATCTGCGACAAATAATTGGAAACTACCATCCATACATTAGTGGTGATATTCTATCCAATATAAGCCAGTTATGTTCGAATATACAAGTTCTAGAATTTGAAAAGATTAGCAAAGTGACAGATACGGCTCTTATTGCCATAGCAACACAATGCACATTATTACAATGTGTAAATTTCAGTGAATGTGAAGGTGTTAGCGGGTCTGGTGTGAGCAGATTTATTTCAGACTGTAAATGGCTGAAGCAAGCTAAGTTTAATTCATGCATGGATGTTGCTAACATTTCACTAGGTTCCACTATATATCAAGGACATGATGAAACACAAAGGTATGAACATTGTGGAAACAATATGACGAAAACTCATTCATATATACAAGTATTACATTTTCGATATTGCAAATATTTGACTGCTAAATCTCTAATAGAAATTTCACAGTTTTGTCCAGATCTAATTGAATTACGAATAGCCGGATGGACAGCTGCTTGTGATACAGACGATGCTTTGGTACGACTTTTCTTTAACTGTACTAACTTACAGTTACTTTTATGTTCAGGTATTCAAGATACAGAGGAAACAAATTTCACAACCAGAACCATAGAAGCCATAGCCAAATATGGACACAACATAAAGCAACTTCACTTTTCATTAAACTATTTTATCACAATCGATGATCTACAAAAGGTCTTGTCTCAGTGCAACAACCTTGAGCAAATAACCTTGTATGTGAACGAAAACACTGCTTTGTATTTTGGAGACATTGAGATTCTAATAGCTAATTGTGATACTAAAAAGATTGGTCTGAATTCTTATAAACGTTTGATGACAACATGTTGTCAGATTTCTATTAAAATATGATTAATTCTTTTTTGTATATCTGACACGTTCCACATTCGTATACGTCTTGGTTTACACATCTTTTCTATGGATATAAATCTGGCATTTAACGACTATATTCCTTGGAATCAGAATTTATTTCTGGTCTTATTTTTTTGTTCTATTTTTTTGTATTAGAGGTGGAAATTGTATGAAATAATGTATTTTTACTCGCGTAGTGGTATTAACCACATGTGGATTCTTAAGAATTCTAAAGAACTTCTGGATAATTTCAAATCTCTGTCTGTTTCTGAAATTAGTTCTAACACAACTTTTGATTTTTTAACCCTGTATATGTGAGCCAAAATTTGTTCCTGTGAAAAAAGTTCCAGTGGAACTAATTTCACAGGAAATATGTTCTGGGAGAACTTTTTTCACAGACAATTTCTATATAATTTGTTCCATCTCTATAAAATAAGTTCCTCACTTTACCTGGTGAAATAAGTTCTGGGTTGTGAAATTTGTTCCTTACCTAGTGAAATAAGTTCCGGGTTTGTGAGATTTGTTCCTTACCTGGTGAAATAAGTTCTGGGTTTGTGAGATTTGTTCCTCATCTGGTGAAATAAGTTCCTTGTCTGTGAAATATGTTCCACTGGTTAAACAAGTTTTCTTATATACTGAGCACTTGTCATCAGTGAGTTTAAAGTTATCATTCAAGTACAGTATAAAAACATATTATATTGATAATGTAATAAATAAAAAGTGTAAACATCCTATTTGGATCCTGTGAAGTAAAGCAAATGTTTAATAACATATTCATTAAAAAATATCAAAATGACACTAATGAGCCAGAAAAGAGTAGAATAAGAATAATCATTCAGATAAAAAGGAAAGTTAAAGATGAAAATTTGTACTAATTTGAAAAGGACAAAGTGACTGATAAATTATAGTAAAAGATACAACAAGAAAATTATCTCTGTGCAATATGTGATCATATGTTGCAAAGGTACTTATTTTCTTTGAAATATGTTTGAGCAGAACTTATTCATTGATTTCTATGAAATATCTTCGTTCAAAACTTATATCACAGGAACTTATTTCACTTTTTTTAAAATTTTAATATTGGAATAAAATTCATGAATCTGTAATTTTTGATCCAGAACTTATTTCACATTTGGTCAAAAAATTAGTTCCGGAACAAATTTTACAGTGCTGGAACATATTTTCTGTGATATAAATTCCAGTGGAACATATTTCCTATGAAATTTGTTCCGGCGGAACAAATGTCACGCCGGAACAAATTTTTTGTTACATATACCCCATGTGAAATTATAATTTTTTTTTTTTTGAAAATACTTTGAACGACAAAATTTCTTCCTATATGACATTTACATTTTCTGCCGTCAGACACGCGAAGCAATGAATGTGGGTTTTTAAATTTTATAGATGCTTAACGATGTTGTTGTCAATTCGTTTGATGTGTTTTATCATTTGATTAGGGACTTTCCGTTTTGAATTTTCCTCGGAGTTCAGTATTATTGTGATTTTACTTTTTTGTGCTTTTTTGTTAAATATTTGTTTGTTTTGAGATTGTGACACAGTGATGACTGCTGTACCCATATTGTGACTATTTTACCTATTATGTCTGTTTTGTTCACGCATCGTTGTAAATATAACGGAATTTTATGCGACTGTCATACAAGTGAGAGGTTTAGCGCTATAAAACCAGGTTCAATCCACCATTTTCTACATTTGAAAATGCCTGTACCAAGTCAGGAATATGACAGTTGTTGTCCATTCGTTTGATGTGTTTTATCATTTGATTTTGCCATTTGATTAGGGACTTTCCGTTTTGAATTTTCCTCGGAGTTCAGTATTTTTGTGATTTTACTTTTTTCTTACAAAACTACAATCCTCGTAGTGGAGATCTTCACATCTTTTAACGCCGATCGGCAGACATATTTCATTGGAATACATTTTTCATCGTTTACTGCTTATTCAAATAATTTTCGTCAGAGTATCGATCAAACCAAAAATATCATATTCTATGTATTATGAAAATTATTCAAGCAAATCTCCGTCTATGCCACTCTTGTTTCGTCCTACAAAGACCTATATAATGCTAGCATCGATAGTACAAAGGAGTTACATAAATAGTTATTTATAGTTCGTTGAATGAACCAAAGAAAAATTAAATTTTGAACGCAAAGATTGAGTCGGTTCTATCAGTTCTCAAACGTTTGTATTCGGTTTTGGATATTCAAATATTTTGGCCTCGAGCATCACTGAAGGAACATAAACTATTTTACACATTTTTACATGGTGAATACGCCAATGAGCTGTAGCAACGCAAGGACAGTGTCCGAAATCGCAAGATTTTCGGAATTTAGCACTTACAACCAAATGCGAAAAGTTGGTTGAAGAGAAAATCAATTCCTGTTTAAAAATATTTTATTTCAATATTTAACATACATACAATTGAGAATGGAAACGGGGAATGTGTCAAAGAGACAACAACCCGATCATCGAGCAGAAAACAGCCCAAGGCCACCAATGGGTCTTCAACACAGCGATAAAATCCCGCACCCGGAGGCAGGCTTCAGCTGGTCCCTAAACTATTTGAAATTAAGTAACTACCATGATTTGGAAGCAAGCTGTGAAAACTTTTACAGAACACTCGCCTGATGATACAAACATCGATGAACATACATGTTGAACTAGATAATAATGAAAGACTAAACAAACCTTGAATGCATAAGCATTTCAGGAAAATAAATGAATAAATAAATATGGAAACAAAAGAATCAATTTTGGATAGTTGGATTTTTTGTTTATTTTTAAACGCTGGACACCAAGATTAGATTGAGATTGGCCACTTCTATGTTATGAAAAATTTTGTTATGGTAAGAGCGAAATTTATTGCAGTCGCAGTCATTATTTTATTTATCTCTCACGGTTGCCACACAGTTTTTTTTAGTGTTTTGCAATACGTATTCGTCATCTGTAATCTTTTGATAAATCTTCAAATGATAACATATTTAATAAAAAAATATTTTGAACGCTCGTAGAATATATCTCCCTCATGCAAAGCTCCGATTCCTTACCCGACTTTGGTTATACCTTTTGTCCTTTTTGGTTTATAGCTCTTCGTCTTTTTAATAAGCTTTGGATTTTCAAATATGTTGGTCTCGAGGATCACCGAAGAGACATTGATTGTCGAAATGCGCATCTGGTGCAGAAAAATTGGTACCGTTTATGTTATCATGTACAATAAAATTGAGAATGGAAATGGGGAATATGTCAAAGAGACAACAACCCGATCAAAGAGCAGACAACAGCCGAAAGCCACCAATGGGTCTTCAACGCAGCGAGAAAATCCCGCACCAGGGGTGGTCCTCAGCCTGCACCTAAATAAAATTGTGTACTAGTTCAGTGAAAATGGACGTCACACTAAACCCCAAAACATATAAATGAACTAAAATTTAAAAAAATATACAAAGACTAACAAAGGCCAGAGGCTGTATGCTTAAATTTTAAAAAAACTTTGAGATGAAAAAAAAATTGTTTGAAGTGTATTTGTCTATTTGATCATAACTTTGTCTTATTTTGTTTTTATACGACCGCAAAAACATTTTTGTGGTCGTATATTGGTATGACGTTGGCGTCGTCGTCGTCGTCGTCCGGCGTCGTCTCATCCGGCGTCGTCATCGTCGTCGTCCGAAGACACATTATCTTTCGCACTCTAACTTTAGTTTAAGTGAATGGATCTCAATGAAATTTTACCATAAGGTTAAATACCACAAAAGGAAGGTGGGGATTGATTTTGGGGGTTATGGTACCAACAGTTAAGGAATTAGGGGCCAAAAAGGGGTCAAAAATAAGCATTTTTGTAACTTCCAGACATAACTTGTGTGTAGGTGTATGGATCTCTCTGACATTGTACCACAAGGTTCCATATCACAAAGGGAATGCTGGGATTGATTTGGGGGGTAATTGCCTCCAAATTTTAGGAATTAGGGGCCAAAAAGGGGCAAAAAACAAGCATTTTTCTAGTTTCATGACAATAACTTGTGTGTAAGTGTATGGATCTTTATGAAATTGTACTACAAGGTTCCATATCACAAAGGGAAAGCTGGAATTGAGTTTGGGGGTAATTGCCCAAAAATTTTAGGAAAAAGGGGCCAAAAAGGGGCCAAAAATATGCTTTTTTTCTAGTTTCCAGACAATAACTTGTGTTCAAGTGTATGGATCTCTCTGAAATTGTACTGCAAGGTACCATACCACAAAGGGAAGGCTGGGATTGATTTTGGGGGTAATTTCCTCAAAATTTTAGTAATTAGGGGTCATAAAAGGGCAAAAAAAAAACAAGCATTTTTCTAGTTTCAGGACAATAACTTGTGTGTAAGTGTATGGATCTTTTTGAAATTGTACTGCAAGGTTCCATATCACAAAGGGAAAGCTGGGTTTTAGTTTGGGAGTGATTGCCCTAAACCGATTAGGAATTTGGGGCAAAAAAAGGGCCAAAAAACAAGCATTTTTCTAGTTTCCAGACAATAACTTGTGTTCAAGTGTATGGATCTCTCTGAAATTGTACTGCAAGGTACCATACCACAAAGGGAAGGCTGGGATTGAGTTTGGGGGTGATGAATCAAAAGGGGGTTCAAAAAATTTGGTGGGGGGGATTTTTTTTCCTTTTTTTTCTTTAAAATTTTCCATTTTAAATTGGTTATTTCTGATTTATATATAAAAGCAAATAATAATAATATGGTTTGAATAGGTAAATTAAAAAAAAAATTTAAGTTCTTAGACCACTTTCATTCTGTGTCAGAAACCTATGCTGTGTCAAATATTTAATTACAATCCAAATTCAGTGCTGTATCAAGATTGAATGTTGTGTCCATACTTGCCCCAACTGTTCAGGGTTCGACCTCTGCGGTCGTATCAAGCTGCGCCCCAGCGGAGCATTTTATTTGTTTTGTTTTATCAGGATGTTATCACGTATAGTTATGTAACCTCCGAAAACGATGAACTGGCTTACGAAAGCACAAATATAAGTTCATGAATTTATTGTATATTCATATTATATATATATCAAAAATAATAACATTAATTGGCAACTCTGAATAGTTCAATATTTGTGGAAAAATAGAAAAACACAAAACATCATAAGTCTATTGAAATGCAGATCATAAATTCAATCAACTTTAACTTGTAATAAAGATTGCTTATTCAAATATCAATTAAATGCATCAGAAACATTTATTCATACAAAGCTATATAAAAGCTACAAGAACATGATTATCTCCCTTTCTGAATATTACAATTCTTAACTTTTCTCAATCAAATAAAATTGAGAATGGAAATGGGGAATGTGTCAAAGATACAACAACCCGACCATAGAACAGACAACAGCAGAAGGTCACCAACAGGTCTTCAATGTAGTGAGAAATTCCCGCACCCGGATGCGTCCTTCAGCTGGCCCCTAAACAAATATATATACTAGTTCAGTGATAATGAACGCCATACTAAACTCCAAATTGTACACAAGAAATTAAAATTAAAAATAATACAAGACTAACAAAGGCTAGAGGCTCCTGACTTGGGACAGGCGCAAAAATGCGGCGGGGTTAAAGTATGAAATAAGAGAAAGTCTTCAAAGTAATCAACATTTGTTCATGGATAATCAATAATGTTTCAATAAGAAATATCGAAAATTAACTAAACATAATCATAATATCAATCAAGGGCACACAATTACAATTCAATATACATACCCTAAATAAGGAAATGGCAGACAATTTCACAGCAAAATATCATCCTTTAGTAGGAAAAAACACATAGATCTACCTGTGAACAATACTGACTTTATCAGAACCTTTTATAATTAAAATATAAAACACATATTTCATAGTATAAATATTTCTCATCAATGCCTATCAATTGGCACAATAAATCATACTTCAAATTCAAATGATGATACAAAAACAAAATTTCGAAATCTCAATCTGTCATGCATGGTCCTATTGAATCTCTTAGTTTGGGCGTTTCCTTCTGGTTTGTAATATTTTGAAATACCTTTAAATAATATTTGGACAAAATAATCAAACTGTATCACAAATATGATTTGATAAAATATATAAAATATACAAATGCTATTATAAAAATTATCTTTTCTTTTTTTTCCCATTTTTATTTAATTTCCAAATTTCACTTCATTTACTGAACTCTATACAAAGAGAGATAACTCAAAAATAACTAAGGTAATTTTTGACATGTTACAGTTATATACTTTTTTTACAATCCAATTTGGTTGAACGATATAGCAAATTTTCGGACATAAATAATATTTGTGTTTACATCATCAGAGGAGAAAAACGCTTCTCATAAAAACTATAACCAAATAAGCAAATAAACCTATGACAACTCTGTTTCTATTGGTACCAAGTTGATTTAATTTCAGTCAGAATTGATCTCACAATATTTTTTGGAAAAATACGTAGTTTTATCGGAAATATATGACAAAAAAAACTGTAGATGACGAATATTCATTGCATAACACTTTAAACCTTTTTAGAACATGATTTTGCTTTAATTTATCTGTGCGCTACTTTGTCTGTAAGTACGTTTGTTTTGTTCAGCTGACGAAAGTTGTGATATAACATCACATGCATTTAGTAAAGTTGCAGTTAAAACAGAAATCGAGAAATCGGGAATTCGGGAAATCGGGAAATCGAGAAAGCGAAAACGCGAAATCGAGAAATCAAGAAAGCAAAACGATGAAATGCGAAAACGGGAAATGAAATAGATTTCTGGATTTCGCGCTTTCGCGTTTTTGCTTTCTTGATTTCTCGATTTCTCGATCTCCCGATTTCCCGTTTTTTCGATTTCTCGATTTCTCGATTTTGCGATTTCCCGTTTTTTCGATTTCTCGATTTCCCGATTTCTCGATTTCTAGATTTCGCATGAAAGTGAAAGGAAAAAATGCGAAAAACGCGAAAAAGGGAAATGGCCGCATCCGGCCACCATACATGTAAGATAATATCATCAATGTGCTTTCAAAAAACAGTACCTTGACACATTCCAATAATAACTACTTTACATTATTTCCAAGGATAAGATTTTGGTACCAGACATTAAAAGTTGTATGCATTCCTCATGACAATTTCTTTCGTACTTTTTTTATCTGAGCGTCACTGGTTACACTGGCAAAAATGCCACACATGTGTACATGCGTGACACATGCGTTTCACATGCGTGTCACACGCATGTGAAAGAGACGTTTCATGCCACGCATGTGACACATGTGTGAAAAACACATGTGATACGCATGATACACACATGTGATCATGCGTTTCACATGTGAATCACATGCGTAAGGAAATACACCTGTGATACATGCGTGATTACTACATGTAAAAGGCATGGTGCCTGTATTAAATATTTTTCAAAATGTCCTCCTATTTGTCCAGTTACCATGATTGTTGACATGTTTCTCAGTTCTCATGTGAATTACATGCAATTTCTAACACATGCGTTATACATGTGTTTTCTCTATATATACACAGGCAAAATGAAATTAAGGTGAATTGAGCATCAATCACACAAATTCACAGTATTTGAGCATATTTTAGATAAGTTAATGCTAATCTAGTACACATTCTATTTTGATATATAAATATTCTTCTTGGTCTTGACTATGTGTTCATACTTCCATTATATTTTACTTTCTTGATCCTAAACAATACAAAAAATATTTATCTATCAACTCCCAACTCACAATATCTCCAATGCAAGAGATAAGATGCAATAAAACAAAGAAGGCAAGCAAATATCCAGGTCACCTTAGTTCACTCCTAGAATTTTTTCGGTTATGTTCAAGTCTCAATACTTTTTTTAAAAGTCATGTAAGGATTGGTGATTCATTTATAGAATATGTATGCACTAATGTATATTTCATTTTTAATATGTATGTACAAGTCATTTTGTGGTTATCAGCCATGAGACAATCCAATCCCATTATGGAAATAGTCTTACTTGCAAAAGATGCCAATTTTTCTTTTGAAAGTTTTGAAGAAAAAAAGTATTTCACCCTGCCACATATTCCTGTGCCTGTTTCAAGCCAGGAACCTTTTCAGTGGTTGTCTAAGTCTCATCCTAATAAAAAAAAATATTTAAAGAATTTGGTGTTGATGGCAGCTCTTTGATTGGTATAGACTCTGGTTAATTAAGTAGATCATGACATTGTTTAGACACCTGTTCATTGTTGAGGACTGTATGTTAGCACCTTAATGCCTTTCATGTGTTTTTGTTGTGTAGCTGTCTGATTTATTTATACCTCATATCTCATTGTATTAATAAACTGAAATAGAAAGTTCTGTGAAATATATTTTGATATACCATATTGAAAGTCTTGCTGTTATTTACAACCATTTCCTTCTTATTTCATATATCTATTTCAGTTTTTCATTTTAACACCAATCTTAAGGTTAAGGCAAAAAGAAAACAAATGTTGACAAACAACAGGCATATCCCATTAGAAGATCTCAAAGTTTGGCTGCACAATAAACTAAAAATTCTTGTTATTTCAAATATTTATATAAAAATCAGTTTAAAACACGCATTTTCCATTTTTAGACTGTAATTGTCATGATGGCACAATAATTTGAATTTGAATTGTATTATATTCTGAGAGTACTTGTGGTTGAAAAAATATACACGATATTAAATTCCATGTGTTTTAGATTTCTTGAATACACCACTCCCATATAATGACTACATGTCTGTTAGTAATATTAAGAGATCTCTCCTGCATGTAATTGCTGTAATTGCTATTTGTACCCAAGGCTTCCTTCATACATTTGCACTTATCCTTCTTAGATGTTGCTTGAATGATAAAATCCTGTAATACATTATCAGCCATCAGACTCTTGGAATACAGTTGCTGTAATAAAAAAAATAAACTGTAATCACAGAGATGTGTCTCGCTTTTTAGTAATTTCGATAATGCAAATGTTGAAATTAAAATAGCAACACTTTAACATGTAAGATTTGCAAATATTCAAAGTCAATGAACCATGACTAAAGGTACATGGCTAAACAATCTCCATGGAAATTAGATGTGCCAATGCTAATACAACGCATACCAAATACCATTGCAGACTACACGAATTAATTTTATTTTTACAGGACATTCGGTCTGGTAAACAACCTAGCTTTACCAGACCGAATGAAATTTTACCAGACCAATTTTTATACGACCGCAAAAAAATTTTTGTGGTCGTATATTGGTATGACGTTGGCGTCGTCGTCGTCCGGCGTCGTCGTCGTCCGAATACACATTAGTTTTCGCACTCTAACTTTAGTTTAAGAGAATGGATCTCATTGAAATTTTACCATAAGGTTCAATACCACAAAAGGAAGGTGGGGATTGATTTTGGGGGTTATGGTACTAACAGTTAAGGAATTAGGGGCCAAAAGGGGCCAAAAATAAGCATTTTTGTAACTTCCAGACATAACTTGTGTGTAAGTGTATGGATCTCTCTGACATTGTACCAAAAGGTTCCATATCACAAAGGGAATGCTGGGATTAATTTTGGGGGTAATTGTCTCCAAATTTCAGGAATTAGGGGCCAAAAAGGGGCAAAAAACAAGCATTTTTCTAGTTTCATGACAATAACTTGTTTGTAAGTGTATGGATCTTATGAAATTGTACTACAAGGTTCCATATCACAAAGGGAATACTGGGATTGATTTTTGGGGTAATTTCCTCCAAATATTAGGAATTAGGGGCCAAAAAGGGGCAAAAAACAAGCATTTTTCTAGTTTCATGACAATAACTTGTTTGTAAGTGTATGGATCTTTATGAAATTGTACTACAAGGTTCCATATCACAAAGGGAAGGCTGGGATTGATTTTGGGGGTTTTCCCTCAAAATTTTAGTAATTAGGGGCCATAAAAGGGCAAAAAAAACATGCATTTTTCTAGTTTCAGGACAATAACTTGTGTGTAAGTGTATGGATCTTTATGAAATTGTACTGCAAGGTTCCATATCACAAAGGGAAAGCTGGAATTGAGTTTGGGGGTAATTGCCCTAAACGTTTAGGAATTTGGGGCCAAAAAGGGGCAAAAAAACAAGCATTTTTCTAGTTTCCAGACAATAACTTGTGTTCAAGTGTATGAATCTCTCTGAAATTGTACTGCAAGGTACCATACCACAAAGGGAAAGCTGGGATTGAGTTTGGGGGCGATGAATCATAAGGGGGTTCAAAAAATTGGGGGGGGGGGGATTTTTTTGTTCCTTTTTTTTCTTTAACATTTTCCATTTTAAATTGGTTATTTCTGATTTATATATAAAAGCAAATAATAATGATATGGTTTGAATAGGCATACATGTGAACCTCCCGACGGGAGTACAATAATCCCGTTTTCAGGGGTCTCCTCCCGACCTCCCGTTGAAAAAATCCCGTGTATGAAATTTTTCATGAATGAAAAATTTCTGCCCAACATAACATCTCAGGCATCTGGTGTAACTGACATTACCTGAAGTTATATTTTACCTGTAAATCAATTAACATGCATAATTATATGGCTTCACTTGTCAGCTTGGGTGTCAAACATACTGGTAAACAACGATTTTTACCTCAGGCTAACTGCCGTTGTGTAACAAAAACTGTGTATTTATTGGGTTACTTCCCTTGATTTATCCTGTTTTAAGTTACTTTCCTTTTAATAATGAAAATTTTTAAAAGAATATAAATAAAATATAAATTGAACAAATAATCATAAAAGGATGGTTATTAAATGATTTTAAATGTCTTAGGACAAATAAAAAAATAATAATTTGAAAATTATTTGAGGATTCTATACTTCCTTTTAAGGCTTAAATTGAAATTTATATAATAACTATGACCCTAACTTTACAGATAGAATGAATTTCTGAGTTTGCAAATAAAAACTATGTGCAAGAGAAAAAAAAAAAAATAAAAACTATTTGCAGACAGCTAAACAAATGTTCTGGTTGCAATGATTGTTTTATAGAATATGAAGTAAAAAATTTAAAGAACATACTGGAAAAAACAATGTTAGATTGAACATGTAGAATATAAAGATGGAGAAACTTTATAAGTACAAGGGTACTATAAACATAATAAATTGGTTGGAAAGTTGAAGAAAACACACTTTAAAAGACCATTTTTACAGCACATGGTTACATTTACAACAAAATTAATGTCGATTAAAAACCTCCTGATCTGAGTCCTAATCTCCTGACCAAAATTTCCCAATCTCCTGATCTGAGTTTCACAGTCCATCACATGTATGAATAGGTAAATTGAAAATTTTTAAGTTCTTAGACCACTTTCATTCTGTGTCAGAAACCTATGCTGTGTCAAATATTTAATTACAATCCAAATTCAGTGCTGTATCAAGCTTGAATGTTGTGTCCATACTTGCCCCAACTGTTCAGGGTTCGACCTCTGCGGTCGTATCAAGCTGCGCCCCAGCGGAGCATTTTATTTTACATATAATTGTATATTATCCGACAAAATACAACAAACTTATGACTTGTTGTGCCCTACTCCTCTCCAAAATGCACAAAAACAAAGTCATGTGACAAGAGTGTATATTTCGATGAAAGTTGTGCACAATTGCTTGAATGCATTTCAGTGATAAAGAAAAGTAATGTCACATTTTATTCGATTTTGACATGAAAATTATTTGTGAACTAAAAATAATTTAGAGTTTCTGTATAAAATATTTCCTGTATCTTCTTTCTTTTTCTTATATCTTTTGGTTTTCAATTCTAGTGTTTATATTTCATAGCTGTATTTTGTGAACCTGCTTGGATTTTTTATTTTTTATTTATTGTATTTGATCGGCAAAACCCGGAATCTGATCCGGTATTGTCTACATTTCCGGTTGATGGCAGCCATTGTTGTTTTTGTCAGTCAGATATGTTTTTACTCGGATTTACACATTACTTGTTGGCGATTTTCGGCATAAAGCTAGCGGTTGAACAAAATAAACATCGTTGTCATGAATAATAAAGATGAAAATGAATTTCGAGATCGTTTGGGTATTTTGCTCCCAAAATTGGGAAAAATGTAGGGTTTTTAGAAAAATCCATGAAAAAAACAACACCGGACCTTCGGACCGGAATTCAACAAAATTTTACCAGACCGATCCATTATTCACCGGATTTGTCCGACGGTCCGGAGAATTTCGTGTAGTCTGCCATTGACTTATCATAAGTAGTTCCCTTTAAAAAACCTAAACACAAACTAATACATGTAAACTAAGAAAATTTTAAAGTCAATAAACGATAACTGAGGGGGGGGGGGGGGGAAATAATCTCCATGGTAATGAGATGTGCCAATGCTAATACAACTGCATACCAAATATCATTGACTTACCACTAGTGGTTTCCCATAAGTCGACCTAATCACAAACTAATACATGAAAACTAAGCAAAAGTTTCAAAGTCAATAGACCATGACTGAGGGGGCAGGGCCAAATAATCTCTGGAAATGAGATATGCCAATGCGTATTTAACTGCATACCAATTATCATGAACTTACCACTAGTGGTTCCCCATTAACTGACCTAGTCACAAACTAATACATGAAAACTAAGCAAAAATTTAAAAGTCAATAGACCATGACTGAGAGGGTGGGGCCAAATAATCTCCATGGAAATGAGATATGCCAATGCTTATACAACTGCATACCAATCATAATTAACTTACCACTAGTGGTTCTCCATAAACTGACCTAATCACAAACTAATACATGAAGACTAAGCAAGAATTTCAAATAAAGTCAATAAACCATAACTGAGGGGGTGGGGCCAAATAATCTCCATGGAAATGAGATGTGCCAATACTAATACAACTGCATACCAAATATCTTCGACTTACTACTTGTGGTTCACTATAAACTAGACCTAATCACAAACTAATACATTGTTGACGCCGCTGTTGTCACCAACGCCAGAAACAGCATACCTATGCCTCGCTTTTTGACTCCGTCAAGCGAGACAAAAACAGCATATATTTTTTGTAAAACATACATCAAATATTGGATTACCATTCAGGCAAAAAATGATAACATCAATTTAATCTCCAATGATTTACCAAACTTACATATATATATATATATATCGTGTGAACAACTGGAATGGAATATAATAGTTGTTGTTTATCATATTTATTTTTCGTTTAATGTCTTTTACGTAAATTGGAATTGTATTACATCTGTAATTTCAGGACCTTTTATAGCTTGCTAGATGCAGTATCAGTTTTGCTCATTGTTGAAAGCTGTTCATACAGTGATCTATAGTTGCTAACATTCAGTCATTTGGACTCTGGTGGATAGTTGTCTCATTGGCAATAATACTACATATTCTCATTTTTATCAACATAAATTACCGTAATAATGAAAACTAACTCTATTCATGCATGTGTACTACACATTACCTGTATATATAATATATACTAGAATACTCCGGGACATCATGGTGTTGTGACTGAAGCAAAGTACCTTAGCCTTATTTTTAGCCTGAATTTTAAGATTTTTCGTTTTGTCATCTAATAATGTCATGCTGGTCATTAGGTGCACAGTTTTCTCTGCTTTCAAAATCTTTCTTTTTGAACCCTTCGACCCAGAACTTGTTAATTATCTGTAGTAATAATTATGTGGAAAACAAATGGGCCTGGAATGGTGTAATTTTTAATCAACACCATTGTCCTATATATATAAGTTATAAATAAAGTTGAATTCTTTGAATCGTCATTTTTATGTCATGCCGGCTCACAAATTGGACCTTGTTATTTTAGTATTATAGATCTAGATTACTAAGTGCTTGTTGAAACACAATTCCTCATTTTTCAAGCCCCTTTCTTACATGTCTTAACCTCATTTAAATTACAATACCAACTAAAAGCTCCAAGGAGCCTGTGTCGCTCACCTGATATTTTTTTATTTTACAATTGATGCATGAAATAATGCAACCGATATACTTTTGCTTTAGTTTCAAAGATATAAGTCAAAAACTGCATTTTTCCCCCTATGTTCTATTTTTAAACTAGATACCCTAATGCTTATTATGGCCAAGTTTGGTTAAATTTGTCTCAGTTGTTTCAGGAAAAGACTTTTGTAAAAGATTACAAAAATTTATGAAAAAATTGTTAAATTTGACTTTAAAGTGCAATAACTCCTTATGGGGTCAATTGACCATTTTGATCCTGTTGACTTATTTGTGAATCTTATTTTGCTGAACATTATTGCTGTTTACAGTTTATCTCTATTATAATGTTCAAGATAATAACCAATAAATTGCTTTGCCGAGCGCAGCTGGATATGACCACAGAGGTCCAACCCTGAACAGTTGGGGCAAATATGGACACAATATTCGCGCTTGATACAGGTCTGAATTTGGATTGCAATTCAATATTTGACACATAATAGGTTTCTGACACAGAATAACTGTAGTCAAAGAACTTAGAATTGGTTATATGATTTGAATTTATATTCAAAATTTTGCTTTTGTGTAATACACTATGCTGTTGCGAATTGACCTCCATCCCCTTTTTAAAACAAAAAATAAATTTGAAGGATTTTCTTTTTGATTTTGATTTCTGAAATCTTGAGGAGAAAAAAATTGTCCCCCCCCACCCTTTTTCCAAAAAAAAAAATCTTTCCCTCAGTTATGGTCATAATTTCAATTCAAATTTCCAAGATGTATTTGAATTACCTCCCTTACACTGTAATTTGTACTTAAGTAATTGTCCATTAACCAGGATACCCTTGTTTTTTCTCACTTTTTTTCCCCCAATTCCTAAATGGTTTGAGCCATAACCCCCCAAAGCCAATCCTAACCATCCCTTTGTGGTATGGAAACTTGTAGTATAATTTCAGAGAGATCCATACACTGTTCCACAAGTTATTGTCATGAAACTAGAAAAATGCTTATTTGGGCCCCTAATTCCTAAACTGTTGGGACCATAACCCCCAAAATCAATCCCAACCTTCCTTTTGTGGTTATAAACCTTATGTTTAAATTTCATAGATTTCTATTCACTAATACTAAAGTTATTGTCCGGAAACCAAGTGTCTTTGGGCGACGACGACAACAACGTGATACCAATAATTTTTTGTGGTCGTATAAAAATTGAAAAAAAAATTCTTAAAATTACCAATTCAGGGGCAGCAACCCAATAACGGGTTGTCTGATGCGTCTGAAAATTCAACAGATATAGATATTCACCTGATGAACATTTTTACCCCATGTCAGATTTGCTCTAAATGCTTTGGTTTCAAAGATAGAAGCCAAAAACTGCATTTTACCCCCATGTTCTATTTTTAGCAATATTGGCCATCTTGGTTGATGGCCAGGGTCAACGGATACATTTTTTAAACTAGATACCCTAAGGATGATTTAGGCCAAGTTTGGTTTTATTTGGCCCAATAGTTTCAGAGAAGATTTTTGTAAAAGTTAACGGACGACGACGGACGCCAAGTGATGAGAAAATGATGCAATTAACAGCAAAAGTAGGCGAGACACTGGGTTCTGTGGAACCCTTACGATTTTTTTGAAATTGCCTTGGAATTCAGTATTTTTGTTATACCATTTGGAAATTAAATACTGTAACAAATACATACCAGTTACATTTATATATACTGTAGCTATAGGATCTCCTCAATATCTAATCCTGTTGTTAATTTCATTTAAACATATAATGTATATAGCTTCCCTTCCACTTACATCTGAGGAGCTAATTCTGAAAATTAAAATTCCTGTGATTATCATATACAATCTTAACCGGATGCAGTCTGCTTTCCAATAAGAATAAATTAGGAATACAGTTATCCCTTGGCAAAGAGAGAGAAAACAAGTGATATTTTTATATTATAACCAATACTGCAAATGGTAATTGGAACATCACTAGTTTTCTGGATTGGATTGTTGCTCACTTTGTCAGGATCTTTTACAGCTGACTATATACTGTAGAAACATTAATTTTCGTGGGGTTAAAATTTCGTGGTTTTGTCTCTTTACAAGATTTCATGGGGATTTAATTTCGTGGTTTCCAGTAAATGGAAGTGATATTATATGTAGGTTAAATTTTCGTGGGGGTTTTAATTTCGTGGATATATTCTTTCCACGAAATAAACGAAATTAAATCCTCCACGAAAATTTCTGCTTTTACGGTAGTATGGTTTTGTTCATTGTTGAAAGTCATACAGTGACCTAAATTTTTTTACATCCTCTTTGACTAATGGAATGTTTTCTCATTGACAATCCTACCATACATTGTAAGACCTTATTTATAAAATACTAAAAATTTCAATCTGTGACAATAACATTTTATTAATTAAATAAGGTAATCTGATCAACATTATGAAGCAATTTTCAAAACACTCTGTCATTGTCTGACAGCGATCAAAGTAATTTTAACTTCTATGACAATGTACAATGATGTATATATGTGCAAGGCTCAAAACTAAGTATTACAACTAAATTCATACATATATCCATATACATTTACAAGGTACTTAAAAAATCAGCGAGACTGATGCATAAAATGTAGGTAAAAAAAAAATACTTTTGTTGGATCCTGCATCATAATTATTACAAGTTAATGAAGGCAAGTCATAATTATTGAGTACATGTACATTATATTTGAACTTAAAGTAAAGGATAATCTGATTAGTCTCTAATCAGTAATGAAGCCACACAACACTGTGTGATAACAGTGACATATAAGTCTCCCATAGATGCACATACTATTATTTTAGGTCTTTTGTATATATATGTTTAAGGTTACTTAGAATTGGCTGTTGACATACATGTACACATGGACTGTCAGGCATGGAGTCATTGGACCCTAGGTTACTCCAGTCCATTATCAGTCACTATCAATAGTCAACTCCTCTGTCCATTTGTTGTAATACAATGTACAGCTGAAAGGGAGAAAACAGTACTTTATTAATAGCATGTGGATGCAAGACTATAATAAGTATTCAAAGAGTTTTGCAAACAATTAGCTTATCCATTTAGGAGAATTCTGTATTTACCTAGTGATGTGACAGTAAACAGTGGCGGATCCAGAACTTTTTATAACTAAAGGGGGGGGGGGGGGCCACTCCAGTCATGCTTCAGTGATTCCCTATATAATCAACCAAATTTTTACCACAAAAGGGCCCCCCTCCCCCCCCCCCCCCCCCCCTGGATCCGCCTATGGTAAAATCAAGTTTAATGAAGGCCAAGCTTAAAATACAATACAGTTATCTACTTTCTAATGCAGCATATTAAAATAAATACCATTTAACAAATATTTTGCATTGTCTTTAGCAACTAAACAATGTGACGTCATATGCGTACTCATGATGTCAAACATAAAATTCTAGAAGTACATTTTATTTTTACCTTTCGTACGCTTCAGAATGGTTTCAATGTTGACAAAAAAAATGTAGGACCTTTCACTGGACTGAAAATTTCAAATAGTCCAGGACCTTTCATTTTTTAATGCAAATGTTAACCCCTGCATGTAGACCAATTTGAAAACCTGGCCCAAAATAAATAGACAGCTGCACCATGAGCACATGATACACCAATCGCTTATTCAAAGAATAAAGTTCAATAACTTTTCAATGTCATAATCAGACATTCATGAAAAACTAAAGGGAGGTTATCTTAATAGATATAAACCAGTCACCAAAGTTTCATGATAACTGCTCAAAGCATTGTCTGAAATATGAAAATCCCCCTTTTTTATGAATAAAATCACATAACTCTGAAACATAAAATCTAAAATTAATAAAAACCAAAAGGGAGCTTATGACAATAAATATAAACAATTCACCAAAGTTTTATGAAAACTGCTGTAAGCATTTTTGAGTTATTGTCTGAAAACTGGAAAATCTCCCTTTTTTAAATGAATATAACCCAACAACTTGGAAACATAAAATCTTAAATTTATAAAAATCGAAAGGGAGCTCATGTCAATAGATACACACAAGTCACAAAAGTTTCTTGCCATTTGGTGAACACATTTTGAGTTATTGTCCCAAAACTGGAAAATCCCCATTTAAAGTTTTTTAATGTTTTTTGGATATCAACAACTTTGTCGAACATACATGGAATTTTGACATGGAATTAGTTATATCTGCACACAAGAACACACATTTGTATGTGTTTTTTCTGCATAAACATGTAATTCATAATTTATTATAAACTTCCGACATAGTCCTATTGTGCATCTCTTTTTTATGCCCTTGTCGTAACGGAGGGGGCATCAAGTTTTACACTTGTCTGTCTGTACATCCTTGCATACTTGCATTGAGAAATAGGTTTTATACCCTTTTGATATATTGAATATTTTGACATTACACAGTCATACTTTTCTTAAGACTGCATAAAATGACAAACTGTGAAACATTGTTACACTAAATCTGTTGAATGTAAACTGATAGATATTTTAGTTTGGGAAAACATGTTTTTTGCACCTTTTTTTATTATAAGCCCTATTGATGAATCCAGTCCTTTTTGGCTAATTTTGAAAGTTGGTTCTTATGTTGTTTGCTGTCTGCCATTACTGTATGTAGTTTATATTTTTCATCCTTGTAGGTTACTTTATGGTATTGATTTTGTTCATTGTTTAAGGCTGTACATTGACCAGTAAATGTTTACATCTTTGTCCTTTGGTCTATTAATTGATAGTTGTCACATTGAGGATCATACCTCATCTTTTTATATTTATATGCTAGGTCATTGAAACAGCTCCAAGGATACAACATAATTTAATTGTTATATATTTGCAAATTCATTCTGATAATGCAAAAACATAAATTGATTGACTTTTTTTCTTATTTTAATGTCCAGAGGCAAATATTTTATGTATTCTAAACGAGAACAACTTATCATGATCAATTAATAATATATGCCAGTCTGACAATGCTTGTTTTAGACCCTTTTTGGTCTCTAATTCCTGAATGGTTTGGGCAAATACCCCCAAAAAATTTGTAAGGGTTCCGCGGAACCCAGTGTCTCGCCTACTTTTGCTGTTAATCGCAGGCTCAACAAAAATGAGGAAAAAAAATCAATAAAAATTACTCCTTTAGATACTATCTTTTGATTGTAAGAAGCTTCTGCCAAAGTTTGGTATAAATCCAGGATAGTTTATGAATCTAATAAATGTTTTAAAAACTTTAACTGCAGACTGTATTTAATGTTAACTGGAAGAAAAACTAAGTCCATTTATAAGTAAAATACGGATAAACAGGTACAAATTTTAACTTCTAGATACTAGCTTTTGATCATAAACAAGCTTCTGTCCAAATATGGTACAAATCCAGGATAGTTTAAGAAAGTTATTAAAATTTTAAAAACTTTAACCAGAGTGAAAATATTGTTTCCTGGCAGAAAAACTTAGTCCAATTATAAGTAAAATACAGAAAAAATGAAATTTTTTTTTAACAAATTTACTTCTGGATACTATCTTATGATCATAAACAAGCTTCTGTCCAAGTTTGGTACAAATCCAGGATAATTTAAGAAAGTTGATAAAATTTTAAAAACTTTAACCACAGAGTGAATGTAATGTTTCCTGGCAGAAAAACTAAGTCCATTTACAAGTAAAATACGGAAAAACAGGAATTTTATTTTTACAAAATTTACTTCTGGATACTATCTTATGATCATAAACAAGCTTTTGTCCAAGTTTGGTAGAAATCCAGGATAGTTTAAGAAAGTTATTAAAATTTCAAAAACTTTAACCACAGAGTGAATATTTGTGGACGCCGCCGCCGCCGACGACGACGGAATGTAGGATCGCTATGTCTCGCTTTTTCGACTAAAGTCGAAGGCTCGACAATGAAACTTAACCTTCTACTTGTGGTACAATTTCATAGCAATAAAAATACTTATAAACAAGTTATTGTCCTGAATTTAGAAAAATGCTTGATTTGGGCCTTTTTTGGTCCCTAATTCCTACACTGGTTGAACCATGACGCCAAAAATAATCCCAACCTTCCTTTTGTGGTATTGAACCTTTAAATCTAATTTCATAGACATTCATACACTTAAACTGAAGTTATTGTCCGGAAACCAAATGTCTTTGAACGAGTTGATAGCAATATACGACCTCAAAACTTTTTTGCTGTAGTATACAATATGGTTGTTCTTTTAAACATTTTCATAAATAATCTAAAAGAAATGTAGACCTGTTTGGGATTGCTTGCAATGCAATTTTCATTACATTAAACAATATATATTTCCATGGAATAACTTCTGTAAACCTAAATTTTAATAGCACTTACTTTCTAACTCATACATTTCAAAGTGACATTATTCCTGTATAAATTGCCAAATAAACGGATCACCGATGTAATAATAAATCTTAATTATAAATTTAATACTAAACAGAAAACAATGAACTTGCGGAAAAGATGGTATACCGCCAACAAAAGGTGCAAAGGTTTTATTTCTTGGTTTCCTTAAACTGACCTCATCATGAATATCAACAATTTTTTTACGACTATGCCTCTATTGAAAACAGCATGCCTAAGTCACAGCTTCATAACTGTTGTGGCTAGACAAAAAAGAACAAGCGATTAAGAGAGCTTTGAATGCAATTTTCTATAAAAATGACCTGTAAAAAAAATAAATTTGTCACTTCTAACATGGATAATTTTCGAACTTGCCCACAACATTACAAGAATCAAACTTTAAACTCTTTGACCTCAAACTTTTAAAAAAATCTTCGAAACAGCATGTACAGAGCCTGACAAGAAAAAATTATTCAAACATAGTTATCATTTTCATTACATACCTCTCATCACAAAATTATTCATTGACTACTGCTCCTCATATCCACATAAATCAATAGGACAATCTATGACTCCACTATATAATCTAGAAAGCAATGCCTCAAATGAATTCTGTCCTGTTGCTTAGCTTCTCCTACTTCTCAAAGTAATTGTACTTTCGTTGAAAAAGCTAAAAATAAATAATGTTTAATAAAATGAAGTTATAATACAATGTATCTGCCAAAATTGCCTTTAATATTTTGATCTGGCAAAATTGGCTTGCTTTAATCTTTTAAAACTAGACCAACAAACTTTCCCCGAAAAAAAAATGACTACAAAAAAGTATTTAATCATTTTATTAATGTGCTAATCCATCATATAAATTCCATATGACCCTTGAATGAAGGGATGAACAAAAGTGATTACATGTACAGTATATATTACAGGATCTCTGAATCTGTCATGATTTATAATGCCAATCTTTGGGGATTAAGTTATTAATAATCATGATACTTTGAAATTTTAAGTCATTCAAAGTTGTTTAAATTACACCAAAAGTTGGACTATTTTATATAAGGTAGTATCTGAGAAATGGACTAAACCAGGCAAGGTTTGGTGGTAAATACATTGTACATGTACAATGTACTTTGTTTTTGGCTTTGAACTAGGTGTTTGTAACTGGGGGTATTCTCAGATCTGAACTTGGGTCTTTTTTGTTGTGGGGATGTGTAAGTACCCACCACGTCTTGTGTGTGGTTTTGTTAGATGTCTTTCTACTTTGTATAGATCTGACGAGTTAAGCCCTTTTCACATCAATATACCAGGTTAGGAGGTGGGTTCGGCACCACAAACTACTAGTCTAGCCCCACCCCATCCTGTACATATTTGTATGTATGTGCCTGTCCCATGTCAGGAGCCTGTAATTCAGTGGTTCAGTTTGTCGTTTGTTGCTGTGTATCATATTTTGTTTTTTTTGTTCTTTGTTTTGTATATAAATTAGTCTGCTAGTTTTCTTGTTTGAATTATTTTACAAATTTGTCATTTTCATTTGGGGTCTTTTATAGCTGACTATATGGTATGGGGTTTGCTCATTGTTGAAGGATGTACAGTGACCTCTAGTTGTTAACTTTGATGTCATTTGATCTCTGATGGAGAGTTGTCTTTTCTCATTGGTGTAAACAAGATTTTATTTTGAAAATAATTAGGTTATTTAAACATTACAATATGACAGTTTTATTAGGATTGGAAAACAAGTGAATTTTCACGGACTTTTACCAATTCCACTCTTTTCTCATTGGCAATCATACCACATTTTCTTATTTTTATATTTACATTACGTACATGTAAAGTAGATCTTTCATCTTCTGGAGGTGTCCGATTCCTAAGTACATGTACAACAGGAGGCACTAATTAACAGCATGATTTTGAGTCAGCTAAAAAACAATCAGATAGATTATGATACAATTAACAGGTTTCTTTGCAATTATTTTGCAAATAACTAAGCTAATGCAAGAATAAAGTTATTTTCCAATAAATACATAAATTAAATAATAGTAAATAATGAATCTACAATTATATTTTAAGAAGTGAAACATCATTTAAATTCAATAAATATCATATATTAAATTTCATTTTTTTTTTTTAATTCTGGGTAGATAAGTTTTCATTTTTTTAAAGTACATGTAGGGCGAGTTGGTAGACCTTTATCTGTTTATAATATATTTATTATATATTATCATGATTATATTCATTTGGATTTTACCCAAGTTAGGCAAGTTGCCACTGTTGGCAGGAGTACATTGTATATTTAACAGGATTTAATCCTTTTCACAAGTAGGGCGATTTTTTTTTAATGTGGGGCAAGCAAGTTGGTATGAAGGGAGCTACCACTTGATTTGGTGGGGCGGGGGCTAGGATGAAAATGTTATGAACAGTTATCCTGCATTGTTTTTAGTTGTAATATCTGTCCTGACAGTTTATTATTCATTCTTTTCGGTCCTGGCTTTTATTTTTTTACTCAAAACTCCTGTCCCGCATTTTTTCAAATTCCGTCAAAGCCCCCTCTCCCATAAAAATCAAATGGTAGCTCCCTAAACAAGAGTGGAGCGATTTTAAAATAATGGGGCGTTTTGCCAATTGCAATGGGGCGAGTTGACTTGCTTCCGTTTTTGCCAATATTGACTGATTTTCGGGTTTATACATGCATGACATGGATAAAGTCAAATGGTTTTTCGTGAAAAGTATAGCACTAGCATCTTCCTAAAAATGCGCATGATTATATTTACATTTCATTGCGCTTTCCAAGTACAATAAGTTGGTAGTACCGTACGTAATCCATCAAAACGAAACACTTTCGTTGCGTTGACTTTCGTTCCCCGGATTCAGTTAATCGACAATGTAAGTTACTAACCCATTTCAATATATCTGTTTATAATAACTTTTTGATCCATCAGTTTGAAAAATCAAAGGTCTTTGTATCAACTATCTGACTATCTTTCATTCTTTGTCCATTCTTTTAAAACATGAATTCAGCAGCAGACGAGCGTCCATGGATTTTGCGTCATAGTATAAAAACGACAACGGTGAAAAGATTTCCGGGTTTCCGTATTCGACGTGCCAAGCTTTCGTACATTTACGTATATATATGAGAGTTAGTCTGGAATCAAGAATGGGGATTTAAATAAGGACACAAAAAAATTATATAGATAGTTGAAAAGCAAAAATATAGAAAGAAGGATCATAGAGAATAATTGAGTATACTTAATTATGAAGAATCATGCAAAGACATTATTCTCAGAGCATATACATGTCTCTGGAAGAATTGAGAATAAAAAAAAACTAAATAAAGAATATTCAATCATTTATATATTATTTATAACTCATTCACATTTTGTTCCATTCAGAATTAAATAACTCTGCTGAGGGGGGCATGGGAAGTTTGGAAAATTGACAAACGATAATTACTCTAAATTCTAATCAGAGGAGAATTAAATGTTAGACAGTCAGAGTGTAATAAATAAAATATAAACATATATTTTTCAAAGTGATGTCACAGAAAAAACAGATTTTTTTTTTATTACTAATAAGATTCTGCAATTTGAGTATCTATGTCCAACAGATGTCAGTGAATTAGAAATTTTACTAATCTGATAGACGTTTAGTTAAGAATCTGTGACAAGTTCTTTTGTAATATTATTAGGAAATTGCCTACCGCCTCCTTGATTTAGAATTGCATACTCTTCAAGATTAAGGTAGCCCGGCTACACAAATAACAGCCAGTTTTGGACTTGATCTTTTTGTCCAAGGTTAAACAATATATTTTGTTTTATAATTTTCAACTCATGAACTATGCAAATATTTTTAACACTATCTCCTCATGATATTCGACGAAAAGCTCACCAGATCTTATCTTCGCATGTTTGCCAATATGGCGAATCAAATCAAAGTTTTACTTACTTAATTTCAAGTTGGCAATTACATGTATACTCAAACCTAGGTTGCCACATGTTGAGCAGAAAGTTCCTAACTTTATCATTCACAATACTTGAGTTCACCCATGTATTTTGGAGGTTCGTGTTCCACATAAAGGCGGATTTAGAGCACCCTGCCTCTCCCCTTTTTGTGGCAAAAATTTGATCTATTATATCGGGAATCACTGATGCATGACTAGGGAGGCCCCCTCTTTAGCAGTCAGTGGGCCCCCTTATGAAAATTTCTGGATCCGTCAATGGCACAATCTTTATAGTTTTTATGTAATGTTAAGCCCAACGGTTACTGGGAATTTTGACAGTATTTCATACCAAGGTTGTTTGGGTATCACAGTTTTAAAATGTTATCACCGTTGATCCAATAAACAAATCCTGGGTTGATCTATTCTTAAACAACTTCTTTCCAGTAGTACCCTCACAATGGTATTAATGACATTAATGCCTCCAACCTGGGACTATTATGGAGACTATTATACAATAGTCCCAGCTCCAACACTGATCATTGATATTTATGTTCCCCTTTTAAATAGAATAGAGAAATTGAGGACATTTGTTCCACATTTTATGAACTTTGAAAAAACACAAGCACATGTAACTTTTGACACCACCTGCGGGCAAGTGCCTGCAGGACACTGATGTGGTGGAACGTGGGTGGTGGTAAGTCAGTGGCGGATCCAGAACTTTTCATAAGGGGGGCCCGCTGACTGACCTAAGGGGGGGGGGCGCTCCAGTCATGCTTCAGTGATTCCCTATATAATCAACCAAATTTTTCCCACGAAAGGGGGGCCCGGGCCCCCCACCCTGGATCCGCCTATGTAAGTTTATAACCGCCGTTACAGTAAACCCCTCTCAACCCACCAAATGCTTGCTTGAAACACAAGTAAAATATAAGCAGGTAATTATATCCTTTGCTTTTATTCCACACCAAAGATGAAGAAACGTATGATAAAGTTATAATGGTATATTATTCTGTACATTGTATAAGCCTAAAAATTAAAGGGACGAAAGTATGTAGTGACTATTGTTTGTCGTGATTTAAACACGATAATAGTGTTGCTTTCCCCTTTATCTTATGAGCCGTATTGAACAGGACAGACTACCCCAAACACTCTGAAACTTTTCAAGTACTTTCTATATGCTCATGTGTATTATATTGTTAGTTACAAATAAGAAAATACTAAATAAAATATGCAAATTTATAATTTAGTTCCATAACTGTATGAAGCACCTAAGACTTAAATATATCTACTGGGTGTATCTGTCTGTCTTTTGTCCAAGATAGTTGGCAGATATATAGGAATAAAAAGAGATGTAAGGTTATTGTAACACACCTTTGAGAAAGTTATTCAAACAATAATAACAAAAACACAACACAACACATCTAGATATTCCAAGTTCTAAATCATTTTTTTTCAAAGTGGTGAAGATCAAAAGATCTGCAATTAACACCAAATTCTCCCAATATAAATGCATACTTCTTTTACCTGTGTATATGTATTAAAAGAAATACCAATGAAAATCTTAATTAAAATAAATGTTTAAAGATTAAACTTTTAATTGTTCAAATAAGAACATTTTATGGGGGAAGGGGGATGATTCACAGAATCCCCTGGCCTACTCCCTTTAGGAATTATATATAGAGAGAGACTTTTTACAAGTCTAGTCTCACTTTTTTTTTTGAGGATCCTGGACCCATATCTGACAATTATTGCAATTTTATTTACTTTGCCTTTTTTTACTGCAATTATTTTCCTAAGCTGATTGGATAAAATACCATTTATTATGGTGACAATTAAGGATAATCAGGGGCTGATCCAGCCATTTTTAAAAGGGGGAGGGTCCCAACACAGGATAAAAGGGGGGTTCCAATTATGTTTCCCCATTTAAATGCATTGTTCATTCAAAAAAAGGGGGGTTTCATGTGAAAATAATTTTTTTAATTAAAAGTAAAATAAGATTTTCAATGGAATATATGTCTTACAAGGTATTAGATGTTAATAAACAAGTTTTAATTTTGATGTAAATTTTTTTCAACTTGGACACAATTAACTTTTTTTCATGTGAATTTCACATGAAAAATTTAACGTAAAATTCATGTGAAAAATTTAAATTAAATTCACATCAACAAAATTTTCCTGTGTAACACATGCGTTACACATGCGTTTGACTATACATGTGTTACACATACAAATATCGCATGTGTCACATGCGTTTTCCAACACATGCGTGACACAGGTGTTTTTCAGACACATGCGATTCACATGCGTGTATTACGCATGTGAACGCATGTGTACCACGCATGATTCACATGCGTGGCAAGAAACATGTGTATTACGCATGTGACACACCTGTGACACATATGTTTTTAGGTACATGCGTGACACATGTGTGGCATTTTTGCCCTAGTAGTCTTGTGTGGACGAAACGCGCTTCTTGCGTATTAAATTTTAAACCTGGTACCTTTTGTTAGCTATTATTCGTATGTTTCTCTGTCCTATGTGTTCCCCCATTTATTTGTATTGTAGTCCTGTCATGTAATGTTTTCATTTTAATGTTATATTTAACATTGCCATAAAAGCGGGAGGTTTGGCTAGCCAATAAACCAGGTTCGACCCACCATTTTTTTCTTAAAATATCCTGTACCAAGTCAGGAAAATGGCCATTGTTATATTATAGTTCGTTTCTGTGTGTGTTACATTTTAATGTTGTGTTTCTGTTGTGTCGTAGTTCTCCTCTTATATTTGATGTGTTTCCCTCAGTTTTAGTTTGTAACCCGGATTTGTTTTTTTCTCAATCGATTAATGAATTTCGAACAGCGGTATACTACTGTTGCCTTTATTTATCTAACAAAATCAGTATAATTCTCAAAACCAACTATAGTTAATCAATTACTCATTGTAACTGAGATACTAACTTAAATGAGAAAACTTAAAAGTTGCTCACTGAATAACGCAAAAATAGGTATGGTTTGTTAATAACAAATCTTAACCATAATCGATCTATATAGAAAAAAAATAAATGTGTACTAGTTCTCCAACTTTTTGAAATATTGTGTTTAAACAATTAATTAATGTCAATGTGTCGATGTGTCTATGTGTCGATGTTTCGATGTGTTTATGTGTCACTGTGTCAATGTGTCTGTCTTTGGAGACTACGATAACAGGCATACATGCACCAGGGTTTTTGATATCACAAACCAGTCAAAACATTTACTAAATTTTATCATCGGTATAAGGACATCATTCGTAAATATAAATCAACATGCAGACATCTTATACGTTCAGGTATTTCACATCCAATCTTTTTTGGTAATATTCTATACAAAGCACAAAAATGTCGGCATTCACCTCAAAAGCTAACCAAACCTTTAAACAGACTTATTCAGAAAGGATATAGTTACGATACTGTTGTCAGGTCATTAAAGATGGCATATTTTGGTATTTATATTGATTCACTCATAGGGTCTTTGCATCGGAAAATAAAGACATTTATTTTGAAACCAGTTGTTGGCACGATACGGTTTATGTTGTTCTCATATATTTTATGATGGTATGATACTAAACCCCAAACAGGAGGGATTGTACTTGATTTTCATATGATGAAGACATAATCTTTCAATCAGTTAAATTGAGTTCTGGAGCTGGCATGTCATTGACTGCTAGTAGATCTTTGTTAATTTATGTATCATTGTCATTTTTCTTTGTTTCTTTTGTTACCTATTCAGATATCGGACTCGGACTTCTTTTAAACTGAGTTTTACAGTGCGTATTGCTGTGTGTTTGTTTATTCTACATTGGCTAGATGTATAGGGGGAGGGTTGAGATATCACAAAACGCATTTTTTGGCCTGTCCCAAGTCAGGAGCCTCTGGCCTTTGTTAGTCTTGTATGTTTTTTTTAATTTTAGTTCATTTATATGTTTTGGAGTTTAGTGTGACGTCCATTTTTATTGAACTGGTACACATTTTTGTTTAGGGACCAGCTGAAGCCCGCCTCAGGGTGTGG